CCTGGTAGTTATTTTCGGAAATGTATCCCCCAACATGCAACAAGGGTGCAACCCCTACATTAAAGGAAGTAACGCCACCCCTACCGTCTTGAGCCCACAATCGATTCCAATAGCGGAATATAGGGTTTCATTCGTTATCCTCCCCCTGGCGCGGAAGGGGTGGAAAAAACAGCAATGGTGGCATATGGGAGTGACTCATACAGGGGTTATACGAACCCTTCCACCCGATGGAGTGTTTGTGGTGTAGGGTTAGTAATTAACAAGAATCGTGGCATTATTGTTTTCAAAATGTCGACAGCGAATATTGTAAAGAACACAGGTTTTGTATAAACAAAAATATTATGTTCTTCTTGAATTGAATTATATACTTGAATAAACTATAGGTATAAGGTAAGTAGCAAAGACGAACAAATATTAATTTAATGAATTACACTTTTTATTCACAACACTTAATTTTAGACACGAACTGATGCTTCGAATCAGAACTATATGAAACCAACTGGTTATTTGAGTTTTTATATGGTTTAAGCAGCTTAAAGGTTGAAATCAATCTCCCAAATGCAGCTATTGTGAGCATCACTGACAGCTATTATATTTATTCGTATTGCTTTGTTTTTGGCAGTTGCTGGTACATTAAGTTATAATTTTATCAAATAAGCTTCTTGCATTTTGAGATAAGTTGTGTATTGATTTTCGAAGAGTTGAATGAAGTTAAAGGTTATGTTGGAGACTTTATATTTTGGTCGTAAGAGAGTTTGTTTACTCGCTGTGGTGCCAATCAACTTAGCCATCCCTAATTAGCAAATTTTACATAGGGAAAATTAACTTTTTATCAATTTTTATGTAGAAAAAAATAGGCTACATTCTCAATCCTTCACAAAACTCTCTGCAGACGATTCTTTGCTATAAGTGATGGCAAACACAACACTACTTTTGGCAAAAAGCAAATGCACGTATACTAGAGTAAATTAAAATTTAGAGTACTGATTTTAAATTATTAGACTACACAAAAGCTCAGTGTAATACAATCATTCGCCACATAAGTATTGATATGTGAAATATTTTTTAGCTCTCAACATTTTACTGTGCATACACAGTTGTGATCCGTAGCGGGGAATAATTATGTGATGATAAGCAATACTCAATGGCTAGTCTTCCTGATGGTCTCCGTCTGCCCCAGCTGATGATTCACGGGAGTGGTCAGCTGGTCGCGTGGCGCTACTGGACATAACCTAACCTCTCATCTGTTTCCCACCATCTCTTTGATCACTGTCCCCGACTCCCGCCATAAATAACAGCTCTGACGGGATTGCTATCGTAATCTTCGTAATGGGTTCTCTTCTCATTACTGTATTGGGTGGGCAAAGTTTCCCCGAAGAATGGATCGAGTTTTAGAAAACGTTTTTATTTTAGTTTGATCTAAAATTATAAAATAAGCAATTTATCAATCCCAGAGGGCCCAGAGAGTTTTCGTTCTTTGGAATATACAACTTAGGACATTTTGTTATTAGTAAAGTTAACTTTTTAGCTCGATCGATACTTTGGACCATGCAAATATGTGGATGATTCTTACAGAGTAGACTTAGGTAGATTGTGTTTTCTTATGAAGTTAAGGGAATCAGAATGGATATAAGATCAAGGAAACATTTGGAAATCACTTACCTATATTAGCAATTTTATCTTGATCACTGTAGCGATACGTACAGTTCGGTCTATTGTACTTGATTTGAGTATCGATTTTATCATATTTTCACCGGTTTCCCACATTAGTTAGTTTGTTGTATTCTTTTGTCCCGTAGACAAATTATTTACAAGATATTTATTATTTTTATACTATAATAATATTGAACTGTACGCTGGAATTTAAAGGAGTATTTAATTTCACAAGTGAGCATGTACATAATATTTATTTGCTATTAGGATAATAGTATGTACGCTAAAATATTTAGTATCTTACTTTTAAAAAACTGCTACACTTTTTATCTCAAGATTAGAAAAACAATGTGAAGAGAACTGGCAAAAGCGTAATTTTAATTACTGTAACTACTTCCCTTTTCTGTAGGTTCGCTTGTAGAGAGTTTTCCATTGAATACTTGATATTGTAAACACGAATAATCTCTATCTCATACTTCTGTATTTGGTCGAGTTTGTAGTATTTATGACGTTAAAGGATTAAAAGGACTTGAAGCATAGTGTAATGGGTTCGTAGCTTCCATATCCAGAAAACTGTGCCACAAGCATCTAAAAAAATAAACTTTTTGATTGGCAGAATGCGTTAAATATTAGTTTCAACACATATATACATACTACGTAAATTATAAATAATCGGTTTTTAAATCTTTAACGAATTACAAATATAAATACATAATGTATCATCACGTATAGGCATCCAAATAGCCATTAGCATTACATATTTAATTTATATCACTTAGGTCCAGGGTCCAGTAAAAAGTCAAACAAAAATCAACGAAACAAAACAGTCTCAATCACCAAAAAGCAATTGGTTCAACGAGGCGCCATTTGTGAAAGGCTTGCAGCCAATGGGAGCGAAGCTGTAAAAAGAGCCGCCATAGCGTGATAAAAAACATCGGGGCAATCACCATGTAAAGTGGTGCGGCGCGGGGGTTGAGCCGGCTGTGGGAGGGGGAAGGGTTACTGCACAGCTGATCAATATTTACCGACACGACATGGCTGTTCAGCTGTTATTGCATCTACATCTCAGCTGCTCGCGTTTGTCAGCAACAAAGTCCATCGCGATAACAATCTCCTCGATAGACAAGTCAATATATATATTTTATCTTTTGTTTATTTGGGAAATTTCTTTAACATTCAGTACATTTTCATATTTGTCTTTATTGGTTCTTGTTTGTTTAAAAAATGTATTCAGTTTTTTTGTACGATAAAAAAATAAGCGTTGTAGTATCAAAATGTGTATAATGTTACATTGTAATAGACCAAATCATCCAGATCAAAAAGAAGAAGCCTACTAACCTGCAAATAGTTTTTTAAGCCCTTACACCACCCTACCTGTTAAAACAACGATTAACCTATATGCAAAAAAATATATAAAAACCATAATAGACACGTGACAGGCAAAAAAACACTTTTTTGCCCGTTTTACCGCAAGACACGTGCAACCCTGCATGGAGGGTATTTTATAATGTATTCAGACAACGGTCCCCTATAGGCGGCATGTCTGCCACACTTTCAATGAAAAAACACCCCAGTGTTAAAACATCCCTCATATTTGCATTGCTTTTTGAGAGGGGCGGTTGGCTCGGGCGCGGCTCCCTCTCGTTTTTGGGGCTCCGACCCTCCAGCGCGTGCTCGCAACGGACATCGCCGAGGATATTTTTTGTCGAGAATTTGTTGCCTTCTCGTATTGCTTCTGTTATTTATTGAAAGTTATTTATTATGTTATTTTCTACACTATGTTTTGTAAAATAGTGAAATTAAATTAACTCTAATCATAAGTGAAATAATTTCAAACTTCATTACAAACATAAAAATCTATGTATATTGAATAGATCAAAAACCATAATAGGTCATTGTTATCGTAGGTCGATGTCTTTTTATTTACTTCGATGGTCGTTTGTGTACAGCGTTTCGTTCAAACGGTACACTGATCTGAAATTATGTAATGCAGATTATGGAAAAAGTGATAATTTTGTGAACTCCGTGTCATTTAGTTCACGTTTTATTCATTTCCACATTATTTCTATTCTAATCCAATATTAATAACCCCTTTGGAAAGGAAAAAACATAAAAATAGGGCGGCTTCCTGATAATTAAGATGTCAATCTACCTTCTGTGTTAAAGTCATGGATTCAATACCTTGCACCTCACCTCAACTAAATGTCATAGCCGGTGACTTTCTTCTACATAATATACCATCGTTTTAATCACATAAACCTACATTTTGTAAGGGACGCTGACTGTTGGTGGCGTTTAGAATTGAATAACATATTTTCTAGTTTCATTGAATCAATTGCCATTATGCACTAATAAAGATGCAATCGGGTTTCTCAGGTATAGGCCTACCTTATTAGGTTATTAGGTTTACTAACCGAAAAATGTAAAATATGTTTACCTCATCAAATTTTTGTTGTCCTATGAATTATTATTATTTCATCACATTGCAAAATTCACTAAGTAAAATTACCTATTGATGGCTGTTGGATAGAAGACTAGGATTTGTAGCAAAAGAGCTAGTACAGTGAATAATTTAGTTTATTACTTGAAATAAATAATGTACCTTACAAACATAGAAAATTACAAAAATATTACTTATTTGTATAAAATATCTCCTTTAAATGTATACACAAAATTGCACACAAAACCTATATACAGTTAAATACAAAATAAATTACTCTATCTCGGTATATCTAGTACAAAATTGTAAATATACTGAGTAACAACCTTTCATAGGAAAATGCTCAAGATAGGCTACCGTGCTCGTGGAGTAGAAACTCCAAAATTCTAATCCCAAATATAAAAACATCAATGTCTAAAACCCAAACTATTTACATATGTTCACTTTAATAAGTGACACATTTTTGATTATAGTCAGCCCTATTGATCCCATTAACCGAAAACCCCAAATCAACACCTTTTTTGAAATAATGTCTCAATATTTACAAAAGCTATATTACTAAAATTAAATTAAGAAACTAAATTAAGTCCTGAACTAAACTAAAATCTTTGGGAAAAAATCTTGGTCGAAACAAACCCGTAGTTCTCCGTAAGTGGCCAAATAGGCAGAGAATCGAATCTCTAAATACTACACACCTATAATACAATACATTAATAAAATATATATAGACAAAACATAGACTAGATTGAAATTATATTACAAACACTTATCAAGAGCAGAAATTATATAAAAATACTACTGTAGGCTAGTAAAACATGGAAAAGTAATGTATTCATAAAGTTATTAACATTTACCAAAAATTCTAAACTTAAACAAAATATTTAATCAAAAAGTAGAAATTCTGTTTTTAAGATCGGCTAAAATAAAATCTCTTCCGAGGGTTTACAACTGTAGCAAACCTCTCTAACCATGAGCAAAGCGGAACAAATGAAGGAAAAATTGAACTTTATCAGTTGTCTGATGACCACACATATTACAAGTATAAGGGTTTTGGTATCCGTGATAGCCCATGTGCATTGTGTACATGACAACATCCCCAAACAACATGTCGCAATACGCACAGTCATAAACCTCCTTTACGTTCCTCCAACGTTCTTTACGCTCTTCTGAAATGGTCGATCGGAACTCTCCATTGACAGGCTCGCAGAAGTTGACATTGGTAGTGGCCTTGTCACCTTCGATGCAGGAGTTCTCTTGGACAGATTCTTCAGTCTTATCTTGAATGTGTTCGGGTGAATGGTCAAATCTATGCCTCTTGGGACTCCTCTCGCCGTCTTCTTCATCAGAACTCTGTTGTTGAAGACGCTGAGCTATTCTCTCCAACTTGAACGCTTTACCTTTCCTTCTGTTCTTGGTTGTTGTTAAAGGATCTGCCAGTGATTGGTCACCAGAAGACTCCAAGAGCGGTTCTTGTTGCTCGGGCTCTGGTCGGCTCAAGTCGAGAGGTGCTCCTGGACAAGCTTTGGATGGCTCTTCCTGTGTGTTCTCTGTCCTTGCAATTATTTCTTGCTGTGTCGTAATGACTCTGGTCAAATACTCCTTCACACCCTCTTGATTGTTGTTCATGGCTGATTGCTGGATGGTATTGATGGTGGCATTGAAGAAACTTTTGTCTTGTTCTGATTTTGGTGGGGCTGTGTTTTCTTGCACGATCGGATTATTGTTTGGGAAGGTTAGGAGTGGATTACGGTGGAAGGTGTTCATTATGGTGTTGTAAGGGTATGGGATTGCTTGACTAGGAAGGAAGCCATACGGATTAGAAAACATGGGATGAAGAGAAGGCAGAGAAGACTGTTGAGGAGAAGGCAGATCTTCAGGTTTCTTCGGACGCTTGGGACCTCTTCTCGTTCCATAAACATCAACTATCGGGAGAGGATTTGGAGAACCGTCAGGGTTCAGGACCATGGCAGGACTGTGGTTGTATTTCCTCAGATGAAGTTTCAGACTATGACAGTATTTGGTGGCGTACGCACAATCGGCGCATCTAAACTGATACACATTACTGTGAGATTTAAGGTGGGAGTTGAGCATTGATTTGTTGACACACGAGTATGAGCATTTATCACACTTGAACGGTTTGGAGCCAAAGTGGTTTCTCAGGTGGTATTCCAAATGGTGTTTGTACTCTGTGACAAAAGGACACTTGGGACATGTCAGGAGTCTTTCGGGTTTGATATGTCCTCGGGTGTGTTCCCAGAACTCAAGTTTTGTGACGGTGCTGAACTCACATTGCTTGCAACGGTAGGTCTTGACTTTGCCCTGGGAGTTGACTTTGGGCGTAGTGACTCCAGGTTCATCATCCTCACCCCAGGCACCCAGCTCATCCTCTGGTCCTAACTGGAGGTCATGTTCCATCTGCAGATGCTCTCGCAGCTTCCCGTGGTTCTCAGCAGTGTGGTCACAGAGGTGGCAGCTCGCTTGTTCACTGTGTTCGCTCATCAAGTGGTTATTGAAAGCACTCCTGCAATAGAAACAGGTAAATATTAAAACATAATTAATTAACACATTCACATGTACAAAATAAAACCCTTTTATTAACACCTTCAATGAAATTTTCAACAAGTAAAAGTGATAAATGTGTAAAAAAATGTTTATAGTTATCTTGAAATTTGAAATGTTTGTATTAATGTACAAGCTCTTCAGATTTTGTTAAAATTAAAAATTATCTTTGGTAAAATCTTCTTATCTAAAACCTAAAATTTCAGTTGAATCTAGTTCTAATACCCAGAAATAATTTAAGAATTCGTGGTAATGGTAAAGGGAGGCATAGATACAATAGAGTAAGAAATGCTGTAACCATTGATGTATTTTCCCTGTGACTTCCAGGCCCCTAAGCTATGTTTTATCAAATAATCCATTGAGGAACGCAATTTATTTTTACCATCAAAATCCAAAATTTTTATCATGTATTTAAACCGCAGTTAGGCCTATTGGATTAAGGTATTAACAATGAATCCCACAAAACATTTTTCATCAAGCATTACCAATATCCAATTTACCTGATGGTAGTAGAGAACTGGCAGAGGGGGCATTGTAGCGGCTTCTCCCCATTGACCGGTTGTTCAGCCACTGGTCCAATCATCCCTCGTCTCTGCAGAGCCATCTGTAGTCCTCTTAGAGGGTCCTCATAGTACAAGTCATCCGAGGATACAGGAGATCGGCTGCTCTCATCCTTGGGAGGCTGAGGAGCGCTGGGAGAGTGAGCAGCGACTGGAGTACTGAAGGACGCAGACTGCTGCGGAGAGAATCTTTGAGGCGATTGGAATCCTAGAGGGTGCTGAGGCGAAAGTCTCTGCTGAGGCGAAGGTTGCTGGGGCGAAAGACGCAGCTGAGGAGAACTTTGAGGTGAAATTCTTGGAGAGAGTCCACGAGGGCTTTCGCCCATAGGTCCAGAGACACTCGGACTTCCTGGAGCCTCCATGATAGGACGGGCGAGAACTCCAAGAGTGGCGTTGGTCTGGGAGTCACCTGCGTGGCCGGAGTCCTCAGACCGAGGGGAGGTGTTCTGGAGACTGCCGTCACTGTTGTAGTTGTTCGGGTAAATACCTGAGTCGTTGTTTGCCTCCTCAGGTTCTTGTTTCTGAAATAAAATTTTTATTTAAAAAATGATACACCATAATGATTCTTTTAGCTTTAATTTATGCTGTGAAGCTTTAATTTAATGAGCTTAAAATATCTAAAGAAGTAATAGTCCAACCAATTGAAGATTGTCAACTAACTCATAGACAACATTTAGGGTAATAGTTGAGAAAAAAGTAAGTAAACAGTCCTTTTGTAAATGCAACGATTCTTGGTACAAATACAGCTTCAAGATAACAAACCCGAAAAGATATCTATTTTGGCAGGGTTTCTATTCAAAAGTTTTTGGAAAAGTATTGGTAACCAGGGAGTGGTGAGTATACAATTTGAAAACAAATAACAATGGACACAGAGTAAGTAAAGGGGTTATAAACTAAAGCAGATGATTCACCAACATTGTTTAACTACAGCAAAAGAAAAACATAATGTGGTTTGAACCACCTTTGAACTCTTTAGTATTTCCATTGACTATTGGATTTTCCCTCCAGGAAAAAACAAAATGCATAATAAGAAACCAAAGCAATTGAGAATTAATGTAGGTAATGTTGGTAGAATATTCAGGGTGAAGGATCAGAGTACAACTTTCCTTGCATTGCACAGAAACCTGTTTAGTGAAAACATTTAACCTAGACAAGTGGTAAACTGGACCAGCTAATCTAGAACATAATCATTAATCATGGGAATTTGGAAAACACATCAACCATAATCAATAATGAAAACCCCGTTCAAAATGCACACAAGAACACTCTATTTGACACGGATATTATTGCAAATGAAATAAAAGGTGAAGTAAAATTTAATTATAAATCCAATCATTAATTAATCATCCAATTTAAACAGACTGTAAGTTTGTGCTTCATTCATTAAGCACCAAAACATGAATATTTTTTATTATCTTTTCAAGTTTTTAATGAATTACTTAATCCAGCAAAATATAATGTGATAAGATAAATTTGTATCTTGAAAGAATAAACCGGTTTCAAAGCATGAAACATTGAAACGTCATTATGCTACCCATTTGTTCCAAATTTTCGATAAGTTTGAGTTTTTAGCTAGAGATTCTCTAAATAATTAAAAAATTGTAAAAAATTCATTTACTTATCATAATTTTAATTGTAAATGTTCACTCACCATAGGTAGAGGGTGGTGCCATGGCTCCATGAGATAGCCTGTGTACAAGCTGTGTCGAGAAGAATGGAGCACTGAAGTCGGCATCATAGAGGTAGTGCCCATTTTGTCTTGTCCGTGACTGTACTCAGCTGACAAAATCATTATCTGGAACCAGAAACCTTAGATTAGCTGGAATCACAACCAAAATTCTGATAGTGATAAAAATCTGATAAAAACTTTACTGTTAATTTTAAAAATGGTATTTTCCTTAAAAGAGCCTAAGAAATCGAAGTTCAAAAGCTAGTGTATATTACCAAATGAGTTTGCTATCTCGCTAATCACATAAAATAAGAAGAGGCCTAAAACAAAACATTGGCATCCGTAAGAGATTTAAATTTTTGAGTCCTAAAAAATATAATTTAAGTACAACGTACATCAAACTGTATATTATACAAAGAATTTAATACTATTGCTATAAATCAACTAAAATATTGCATGACATCTTAAAAAGTGCTGTTTGTGTTAAAGCAAATTATTAAAAAAAATACTCTTTGTACCGGCACGCTGTATTTTTTCGCCCACTTATGATGTCCCTGAGAGACAACTTTTTGCCCAATAAATTATTTTCACTGGAAACCCCACAACAAGAATGCAGAGCAAACCATTTACATAACGGTCCAAAGTCCAAAAGAAAGGAGCCCTTCCAGATATTTATTTACGACTGTTTTTGTGGCAAAGAAACCATCGTCACCCATCAACCCTTTCTACGAAAACCCTTTTGTCACCCTTCGGTTTTTGCCCAGGGGCTGTAAAAATATTGTTTTACAATTCGAAGATTTAAATCCACACAAACGGTATGGAGAACAGGTTAAGGCTTGTAAATTTTGTTGGAGTCGTTGCTGAGATAACCCATACGTGTTTGTCTAAAGATTTATGTGTTCGTATTTTTTAGAGATTTGCCATGGTATACAATAGTAACGCAATATTTAAATACACTAGATTTTTAAGACGCGATTTTCTCTTCCTTCTGCACCTCAACACTCATTACTATTTACGCTAATTGTAAATTCCGTGCTTTTTACAACAACAAAATCACCTCATTTTCCACATAGAACTTTTCAAAATCTATAGTTTCACTCCAATGTGGTCCTGTGTTAAAGAATAGAAAACAATGGAAGAGAAAGTTTTGGAAATCCTTCCAACAAAACAGCTCACGCAATTTCTACTTTTTTGTCGAGTTTGGGTAGGAAATCGCCCAAAGTGACCGACTGACCGATTTTCAAAGCTTTGTTATCCGTTTTTTGCCGATCCATCGGACGATCGTTGCGTCGGCGTAAAATCGGCCTTTGAACAGTTTCGAACAAGTAGCATCCTAACATCCCTACAATGGGGAAGTAGGCTTGACTTACACCCTTGTCCGTTCAAAACTCCCATATCTGTCAAACTATATTGGCTTCAATAATGGGGATTTAGGATGCTAGGGGGAATTAAAATGTCTAAACGGTTTAGTTGGAATAATGGAGGATAAAACGTTTCATGACTCACTTTAACGCGTTATGACAGACGAGCGCGTTTAAGAACTGTAAAAAATATACAATAACTAAATGTGACATTCAATTACCTCAACCCCATATATTATTTTACTTTGTACGACTTGACAGGTTATGGGTTGAGATTATAGAAACAGACCTGGAAATTGTATAAGCCATAAATTTTAACCTTACCTAGCCTCCTGACCATTTCAACGATTAAGTTGAAGTGCCCACGTAAAAAAATGCGTAGAGCAATACTTTCGAAAAGGGAAAATCAGTAAACGTAAACAAAATTTGTTTTAAAACAAAAGATTTATACTCGATAAAGACTGAATACTCACGACTAGAAAACGCTTCCCCAAACCGAACTGACCATTTTAATAGTATCTTAAAAACACTATGCAAATACACCGATAACCAAACCAATATTAACTTCCAGTGACGATTACATTTTAAAACAACACGATAAGATAATTTTTTCCATAAATAATAACAATGAAAAAATTACCAACGCCGTGAATCCCCATTTTTTACAACGCAGTGACGTCACAGCCGGCCGCAACAATGCAACGATCAGCTGACACAACAATGCGCTGATGACGCAGAGTGAAGATAACGCTATGACGCATCAGACATTGTGGTAGGTCTGGAGTTGAGCACTGACCTACCACAACTATTTGGAGGTTGAGACACGCTTATCTCTGTTTGTTTTTTCGTGAACTTTTGGACCGAAAGCTGTTGAATAAACAACTACGGTCAAACATGAGTTGGAGGAGTGGCGGCTTATCTAAAGCCGATGTTTAAATCCGACTTGAGAACGTGGCTCAAAAGCGCGCGTTTTTTGAAAATATTTCCAGAACAGATTGTGTATTTGAAATCTGCTAGAGCACCGACAGCAAAGTAATTAGGCTACCTACGGTAAATAATAATGAATAATAAAGATAACAAAAATATATGGGATGTTTGTGTATTCAACTGCGACCGCTTACACATTTTGACTAATTCAAGGATTTAAGCGAAAAACATTGATCGTTGAACGATTTATCAATGAAGAAAATCCCTTAAACGTCTTTGAAAAATATTAAAAGTGTATTATTAATTATTTAGGTTTTCTGTCAAACATTTAAAGGTCGATAACAAACTTGATTCAATGGAGAGTATTTCAAACGTTGTTATCATATGATTTGATTCTTATCGAGTTGATGTCCTGAGGTATAGTTTTCAAATCGTATAATCATAATAATAATTCAGGAAAACGTTTCACGTTCACTTTAAAAACTGCGTAAACTACGATTACACACTGAATAACAAAATGGGTCTCGACAACGGTTATAATACATGCGTCACATACTGTATTATGTACATTATATCCATATATTTTTAATGTTATATTATAAGATTCAGTTACATTTTTAATGCTAGTTCATTTTTGGCCGCAAAGACATTGCGGTAAGTAGACTAACAAAGTTTAAGGAAACTTAGTTGCGTGACATAAGCTTTGTGTATTGTACAGCATTATACAGTATTGATTTATTATCCGAATTAAAATTACATAAATAATCATAAAAGAAACTGAAATTACTGCCAGTGAAGTGAAGCTAAATAGGCAAATAAGTAAAATTCTATAGCAAAATTGAATCATTATTTTAACAGGCTTACTACAAAGAGAAATTTACAGATCCAAAGCCAATATGATTTAAACCTAATGATTATTGTCAAACCCAACCTTATTTTTAATCTCTGAACCCAAAGTGAAAGAATATAATGGTTCTGAACCCAGGTCTTACCATAAAGAAAAGATAATTTTCTGTATTCTGTAGAAACCCCCAGCTAAGAGAAAGCAATGTTAACGTAATTGTAATATTATCATTTCCACCTAGACGACGAAAGCGAATAAGACATTTTACTTTTTGTGGCATTAGCTGGTAATACACAAACAGATTAACAATTTACATTGCTAATGCAAATTTGTATTTGTTTAAATCAAATCATCATTTATCGCTATAAAACTTAGCTTAAGCATTAGCATGAGTAAAACACGTTGCTATAAACGAGTTAAGCGAATGTTCTCGATGACGTTTAATATTATTTCGCCAGCGAACCTCAAAATCTAAATCCAGCGATTTACAATAATCGGAAAACCCAAAACTACCCAAAACGCCCCAACCGGTGTTACATTTAGTTGTATTGTATTTACATTTATTGTGTTGTATTTACCAATTAATTTACAGACTACTCAATCCAAAAAAATACAAACACAGAAAAGGATAGTTGACTTCCAACAATCTGTAACATGGTTTCTCCCTAATCTATGATAACATATTTTTAGTGATAAGCTTTGGAAAAAACCACGGCTATTTGACCTAAAATAAGATATGGATCAGAGATAAAACGACAATCTATAAATGAAGACTTGTTAAGTAAATATTAAAATAGTATAGTGAAAAATGTACCCATAAAATGTCTACATTGGATCATTAGTGTGATTGGTTACGTATCACAAACATCAAGCAGTAGTTTCTTAGTAGTATTATCATTTACTTAAAATAAAGTTGTAATGTAGAATCGAAAAGAGTTTAAAGAATAATCTATGATCTGTAGTGGATGACATAGACATCAATGTCATTAAGATTAAAATAGCTGTTACTTTATATTGAGGATACTTTTGGAGATGTCACGTAGGCAGTATTTAGCAGCACAAGAAAAATATTCATTACGAACAACTTTAACTAACACAACACTCTTATTTTGAATGATAACTCACAAATGTATTTACCATGCATAAAACAAGGGCTGGATGTCGATGAAGTCGAGTTTCATTCGCAAAATACTGAGCTCAAAAAACTACTTAGGATATACACGGACGTGAAAGATCACAACAAGTTTTCAAGAATAAAATACAACATTACATAATATGAAATTATACAAAGTGTTCCCTAACAAGTAGTAAAGGAGGTAAAACATTCTTTCGTAAAATGCCTAAACCCAAAAAATCTAACAAGAGAATGCAAATTGGAAATCTTAAAAAAAAAGATGTATTACAAATACGACATAAACATTTCATAGAAACTCAACATACTTATTTACTGAAATTTAAGGGAAAGATGTTATGCGATTCAAGAGTACAAGATGTTTACAGATTAAAATCTGATAAATCGGACAAATTATTACCGAATAACAGTTTGTATTTGCTAGCTACGTTAATGATCTAATCCCAGTAAAACTCCAAAACACCATTACCTACTACAATGTTAAGTGTGGACGGGGATTAGTCAATTTCCAAAGCACGCTCTATTTTAAAACTGTATTTTAGTTTTTCTGTTTGATTTAAAACAATTTAATGCATTATTAAACTTTTAATTTATTACACTAAGTTAAATAACACATTCTTAACACATGAGTAACAAGATAGGCATGCAGGGAAACGCACTTATTATAATATCAAATACATTACTATCCATCTATAATGACTTAAGTTTTTCTACGCTTCTAGATATGTTTACACACTGTAATCATACAATACGGTAGAAGGAATGCAGGCATCAGTAAACGGTTGCAATAGTGTAAAAATTGAATTGGATGAAATGTATTTTCATTAACACGTGCAATTATCATCAAGAAGTCACAAGAAACGTCCGCACTTTATCTAAACACATCCTTTATCCGTAAATGATGACAGGATAATCCAATTCATAAATTTAAATAAATGTTTATATCAAATCTTGAGTTTCCTTTTGAAACTACATAAACTAAACAAATATTTTAACTGAACTATAAACAAATATAGTTGCTACTTACGAAATATTTTGAAAATCCAACAGAATGAACTAAAATCCACTACACTGTTCCATGAACACTGAAGGTCTATTAAGGACTACACTCCCTCAGCGAAGGGAGAGAACTAAAGTTTAGACCTACCCCAAATCGCCTTCTCTCCCCCCCCCCCCACAAACTCACCCCTTCGCTTTCCCCACCACTGCTCGTATTTCCGACAATGTAGCAGCTATTTCCAACATTTTGGTGATTTGAGGGCAATTTTTTAACTCTTCAGACGTTGTCAGGGGTGCCGCCATGTTGGTTTATTTTTGTTTTCAGGACAAGAGTGGAAAAAGTATTTCGGAATTTGATAAATGTGAATGTATTTATCCCAGTAAGAGTGAAGTTAAAAATATACTGTTTGAATTTATATAAATATATAAATAATATCTTTGACTAACTTAGACAAAAATGAGATACTTAGGCAATTGCGGAATCGCTTTTAGATTGAAAGCCAGATTAGGCTGTTTGTAACGTTTCGGAGTTCTCACACAGGTACTTCAAAGCAATTAGCTGCTGTACGAAACGTAAATGCATTCATTGGCATATCAGTTAGATATTATTCTTAAAATACCTAATTAAAAGTTAACTATGGATTTTTAATTAATAGCAAACTATCCCATTTCATACAGTAGCTTACAATACACATAAGCACGAATGTTGGAACAGAAAGCTGTACGGATCATAAACATAAACATTATGACGTAACTGGCCCGAATCGTGTACTAATAACATATATGGTTTAGACAGTAAGCAATGTAAAAAAATGTTTACTTTCGGGCCAAAAACGTCATTTGTTTATGCTTATGATCCTTGCCATTTTTGATCTAGTACAGATATAGTAAAGAAGTAGTACAGATTGAACATAAAAGACGAGATAAAATAAAACATGGGTTGAATATTGCATATTTATATTCAATATTAGGTAAACATGATTGAACATAAAAGACGAGATAAAATAAAACATGGGTTGAATATTGCATATTTGTGTTCCATATTAGGTAAACATGATTGAACATAAATGACGAGATAAAATAAAACATGGGTTGAATATTGCATATTTGTGTTCAATATTAGGTAAACATGATTGAACATAAAAGACGAGATAAAATAAAACATGGGTTGAATATTGCATATTTGTGTTCAATATTAGGTAAACATGATTGCAGTCAGGAACCATATTGGAGTGTTTAAATGAAATATTGTGAATTATAGTACTTAAGAACTAAATGGAATTATTTTAACGAGTTAAAATAAATTCAATATTTATTTACGTATTGACTTTGGATAGTTCGAAACCACGCATTTTATATTGTAAAATAAAAAAACTAAAGCCTGATTAAACATGTATTTCTTATCCGGCATTTAAACATTTAAAACATTAAAACAACTGTTTTATGTTTTATCAAGTCAACCTAAAGGGCAACATAAACTTAAACGCCTTCTAAGTTCTTAACAACTAATAAAGTAAAGAAACTAAAAGAGGAAATACAAATTATGTTGGCAGACTATTTGAGAAGGTGATGCAACAGTCTACAACTGCTCAAAATATAAATGAGATTTCTAATACAATATCCAAATTGATTGTTCACATAACACATAACAGAACAGAGTGTCGATATTAAGTTTTTATCAGTAACATAACAGATTTTTTTACTAGAACAATAATCTAACAATACAGTTCGATCACAGAATCACAATAAAAAAACGTTCAGAAGGAGTATTTTAACAATATTTTTTACACTGTTAAGTTTGAGCAACGGGTTTTACATGATATTTGATCACATTTTACATGATATTAAAACACGATTTAAAGAACATCTTGAAGCATTGAAATAAAAAAAATCTAACATTAGTGAAATCAAACCTGGCTGACCATATTATGAACTCAGACCACAGTTAAAAAAATACATAAAAGAAAATCTTAAGATATTAGAACATGAAATTAAATATAGTATAGTGAAGAAACGAATACCAAGATATAATTAAGATTTATTTAACATATTTTCTATTTTGAATTTATTTTTACATAATATGATTATATTATTAATTTTGTTAGTTTTAAGAATGAGGTTACGATAAATATGACTTGATAATGGACTTAGTTTCCAAAACATGTCGTCAGTCAAAATAAAATAATTATTTAAAAGGGTACTTTATTAAAAATGTTTTTAATTTTTATGATATTTTTATATGGTATTTCAATGTGAACGTGTAAATTTCACCATCAGTATTAAACGACGATTTTACATGGTATTCAATCCTATAAGCTAAAAACTCCCGTAGTGAAAGCATTAGGACTATTGCAAAAAACATTTGAACGATTGCAAAAATAAGAGGAACTATTTTTTGAAATGTTGTACTTCCCATAATTTATTTTCTAAATACGTGGGCTAGCTATTATAAAATTTTTGAGATGCAAAATGTCGACAGTTCCAAATAATGTTGTAAAAGTTGAAACATTTTCTGTACATTGACCTTGGCCATTCAACTACTGAATGTATGAATGTATTATGGAATGCATCCAAATGCTGAAGAGGCTGTGACATTGCCAACATACGTTCAAGTATTATAGAATTGCAATACTCCATCTCTGGCACTCTTAAAATTAAACGAGATCCTCTGGCACTTATTAGTGAGATTCTTAAAATTAATAGCCCCATAACAATAACAGAAAATCAATTTTTAATTCGAATGAAAATATTTTACGATAATACATTGTAGGTTCTCTGCGGAAATGTATTCATAAACTTAGTCCAGGGTTAACTGGACTTTATCAAATGTTTGTACATTTCTCAATCCTAAACTTTTACTTTAAAAACTAAACTTTCTTAATCCTTACTTTTCAATGCACTGCCAACACATCTAAAAATTGAGTCAAACCCTGTTGTTTTAAAAAAAATCACTTCGAAAATTACTGGTGTCCAAGTGTTACTACCGTGTCCGTGATTTTATTGCTGATGGGTAGTCATGGGCATATGGTATGCTTGGTTCATGAATTGATTACATGTAAATATTGTTTGTTTTAGTAGTTATTTTATAGTTTATAAGACAATCTGTATTTTTTTAAATGTATATTGACTTAGCCAATGCATTCATGTAAATCTGGCCAAATAAATGATTTATGATTTATGATTTAAAGATATGTTGGTTAACTAGCTCTCAGCGTAATAACAATACTTCTTTCTGGGTTTAACCACCATATTTTTACCCTTTTCAGTGACACGATTGTACTTGACATTCTAAATAGTGTATTTATTCTCATTAGCCAATAAGCTTTTTTTCGCATGATAAATAACTGAATTAATGGCATGCCCACAAATGCTGGCTAGAGTATAGCATTGGGAAGAGATGATCAAGTAATATCATTGACTAGTCAAAAGGTAATATGTAGTTGAAGTTACATTTTTCCTAACACTACAGTTTGACGAAATTATTTAAATTCTTGTCAAAAATGATAAAACGAAATGAAAATATTTACATAAACAAAAGAAAAGAATCTCAATAATTTTCGGACCGTATTCGCATCTCCTGGAGTCTCTTGTTTTGACCATTCCGAATTCGGCATTAAATTTAATTAAATCTTTTCCTGCTCAAATTGTAGCAATGGGTAGCTCAGTGGTTGTAGTGCTCGCAGGTTCGATCCTGAGAAAAGCGTGTATAGCTTAGAATAGCTTTTGACGTCTTTGTCCTTGATTATTGGGCTTGTAATGGTCCTGACTAATTAAACAGCTGGTCTTAATCAGTAACAAAACTACACAAAGGCATCACACTCCTTTCTACACTCATCCTTCGCTCATATTTCGGTTGAAATACGCACAAAGGTGGCGTCCCTATCTCAAATGATATTGCTAGTGATTTAAAATAATTAAGCCAATACTTTGTCCCTCTTAGCCTATTAAGAAATTATCAATTTCGTAAACATTTCTTAGTTTAAGTTTTGGGTGGTAATATCCGTTTTGGGCCCCTGTACTAGAACAAGGTTTTCGAAGTGAATTTTGCGTGTGTAGATGTATTCAAAGCTTCAGAATACACACATGAGGTCTGATTTTGGTGAAATTTGGGTATTCCAATGCATCGCCATGCATTTTGTATCTATTTTGATATTTTTATTGTAATGGTGATTTTACCATAAATTCTATAAAATAAAGGAAAATCTGGTTTCCAAGTTTAATATGATATCGTCTATCTAATTCGCAACAAAATGGCACAACCCCTAACGCTGTATAAGCAACGGTTAAATGTTATTACATTATAATTGTTGTGATTTCCCCCACAAAAAACTCATAGTTTCCCAACATCTTAAGCTGTTAGGAGAAAGTACGTGCCAGTTTGCTGATATCGTTTATTTTTGTATAGTAATCTTAAAAACAAATTAACATATCTTTAGCTTTGAGAAACACAGAAACATTATAAAGTTCAGTCAATCCTAAATTAATCTTTTTAAACTTTCAAACTGTTTTAACCAAAACAAAGTGATTCACTTTTTAGAACTAAGAACTAGAAATTTCTCTGTAAAATTCATCATAAAAGAATAAATACCCCGCCGCAGCAAACCTGCAGACTAAGCGAATTTCCATTTGCCTGAATGGATATAGGCCTACACTAAAATGTCTCCTTAAAAATATCACAGTCATTCCCTATTTAAATATCATTAGTTTAACGCGTACACTTAGGTTTACTGCAACAGGGAGGGTAAAAGAGTTTTTTTTATGTTAATAGTTTAGTATGAAATAAATGCATTTTCCTAATTTTATCAAAATATGTTCTTAAACATATTTTACTATAATTTTCCAAAATCTATTACGCTAATCTGGCCACTTCCTTCCTTGGATAGCCTTCATTAAAAGAACATCCCCTTTACTGCAACTACCCCAAACCCATTGAGAAACAAGGAAATTCGCAATGCGGGAATTCTGGGCAAAGGGCAAATGAGGACCATTAGGGTTGTTTGGAGAACTAAATAATCTGACCGGAAATGAAATAAATATCGGATATGGCTTAAAACTCGTTAGAGCCATTATGAATGACACACGCATTCCATAACATTTACTCAGTGATTCGAGT